AGTCGTAGGAGGCGACGAAAAGAGAACCCAGCGCCTGAGGGTGTAACTGGGCCACCCTGTTTCTGAGGGATATAAATACGGTGACCCGGCCATCCAGGTTAAGGTAGTCTTGAATTTGAGACGAGTCCCGTGGGAGTTAGACCTGAGAATAACTGCGCTGGCGAGGTCCAGCAGCAATTGTAAACTACAGACCTATCTTCTCATCAGAGTGGATGTTACATAACGACTATGAAAGCAAGTATTCAGTAGAAAGAAACTGCTGGTCGTGAGTCTCAAAGGAGTTGTCGCCAAGACGAACTAATTGGCGATAAACCGCTAGTCGTAAACTGACTCTGACTCTGACTTTTATTAACCAGCGACGACTCTACGACAGTGAGATATATCCAGATTCGTTAACGAACAGTGATTTGAAATAAAAAGAACTCCTTGGCCTGTAGTTCGCAAGCGAACTATACCGACCTAGCGAACGCAGCTTGTCAGCGAGGGTGTCACGTGGTCAGCGCAATGGATCCCCACTGTCGTTAACCTCGTTTTTCTAGACTGGAGTCGCGATTTCCTTGAAATAATTCCTCAGTTATCCTCACGAGGCTGACTGGACCCCGTTCCAGACCCACTACAGCTCAGAAAATCTTGTAGCGCCGGGAATCGAACCCGGGACCTCTGGATCTGTAGCCCGGAACTCTGACCACTAGACCACTGGGAAATAAGAGGTCGTGGAATGTTTCGAAGTACACCTATTATCTTGGAATTCCGCTAGAAGATACAAGGAAAAAGAGACCTGAGAATAGCCTGCACTCCTGCTGGGATCCTAAGCGGGTACTTCGCGAACACCCGGCACGTAGCGACGTGCAACGTATATAAGATTTAGGGATCCGGTCGCCCACTCGCCCACTCGCCACTTGATTTACGCAGCTGATGTTAAGCTTGCAGTCGCTTTGAAACTCCGTGTCACGAGGCGAGAAACTGCAATACGTAACGTGGATGTGCACTGGATCCACGGTCTGGATTCGATTATCGACAGAAGCATGTTTCCCCTTTTAGGCATCATGGCAAAACTGGTCTCTTTTTGAATTGGTACAGGTGATGTTTCACACGCAGGATCAAATGTCCAAAGAGTGTTCCTGACCACTCATCGGTTCGAGAATCCTGTGTGGTCTCTGGCCTTCTTCAAAATCCTCATTCCATTGTTTCTTGTTTAATGCCAGGCTCTTCCAGTTCCTCTGTCCTAGAACTCTGATATACTGGCACACACTATCCACTACATCTCAGGTTATATCTTTCAATTGTTCTTGTCTATTCACCTCATTCTATTGTTAATGCTCTACACTCAGATCTCCATGGAGTACAGCATGGACAGAGGGGTATATTTATTTTTGTAGTGTCTTTACTGAGGGATCTGGGATAGCATAGTCGGTACAGCGACTGGTTAAGGGCTGGAAGACTGAGGGGTCTAAATTCGAGTCCTGGTATAGTCAAGAATTTTCTTCAAGTCGTCCAGACGGGCTCTTGAGGCCACCCAGCGGGTAAAGCAGCAGAGTCGTGAAGCTGACCACTCACATCCAGCTAGTGCAGTGTTTAAGAAAATACAGATCTATACGTCAACTCTCCCATACGCCTCCATGGCATAATGCTTAATTAGTTAAGCACAGAGACAACTTCTCCTTTTAGTATCTCTACTGACTGCTTGCCAACAATGGGTATAGACCTGCAACAAACGAAAATTAAGACCGATAACGGTACAGAATCCTAAAGAATGGACCTATAATTCTATGTGTACTTCGAACACATCCATTCTTGTTGTCTGAAGAAAGTGATAGGGTTGAATGAGGTTTTGTTGAGTACAGAATTGGTTATAAATAGGATCACTCACACGTCATTTGATCATCACATCCACCTGAGATTTCTGCAGTGCAATCTGAAAACACAGACTACACATTAGTCCTTTAAACTCCAGTGGTTACAATACGTACCACTTGCTTTAACGTTGTAAAACTATGCATTCTGCCCACAGAGTGTATACACGTATGTGTGTTCCGTATGGTTCTCACAATAAACAGCGACTGTTTCCTTAGACAATACTCGTATTAACCGGTTGGGGTTCGTAGTGGAGTTTAATGTGTTTCCTGTGAGGTACAAATTGGATTTATATAAAGTCGTACTATGCAGAAATTACTGAAGGATCCGTCAAACGTGATGACAATCCTACGGTAAGTATCATTTCATTTAAAATCAGTGTGCCACCAGTTGCCCAGCCACTCAAGAACTTCCAAACATTTTATGGAACCCGAAGGTTTATTACCCTGTTCGCAAGAGCCAGCCACTGATCCCTATCCTAAGCCTGATCAATGCAGTCCATACCATCCCATCCTGTTTCTCTAATAACCGTCTTCATAGTATCCTTCATGTATGCCTTGGTCTTCTTATTGGCCTCTTTCCCTTTGGATTTCTCGCCAAAATCCTACATGTATTCTTCTTATCTCCAATTCGTGCTACATGCCCTGTCCATCTAATCCTCCTTGATCTGATCATTCTAATTATACTTGGTGAAGGGTACAAGTTATGAAGTTCCTCATTATGTAGTTTTCTCAAACCTCCTGTCACTTCATCTCTCTTCGGTCCAAATATTCTCCTCAGTATCCTGTTCTCAAACACCCTCAGTCTGTGTTTCACCTTTAATGTCAGAAATCAAGTTTCACACCCATACAGAACCACAGGCAAAATTATAGTTTTGTATATTCTAATTCTTATGTTTCTAGACAGTAGACGAGAAGACAAAAGGTTCTGGACGGAATAGTAGCAAGCATTACCCGAGTTCAATCTCCTCTTAATTTCCTCCTAAATCAGGGTTTAATTTGTTACTGTCGTTCCCAAATATCTGAACAGTGCCACAGTTTCAAATGACATATTAGCTATATCTATATTATGATTTTGCTCTGCATTCTGATGAGACATCAACATATACATACTCAGGCTGTAGGTCTATACTGGCTTGTTCCCGGAGAATTTGAGAAAACATGTACGTAAATGTCTCGTGCTACCATAGAAGGACCAAGGTCTGGATTCGAATCGGACACCTCCTGAATGTGAGTACAGAAACTTTACTTCCTTACCAGCTCACTCCCTGAAGGCCTTGGGAGTCCTACACAAAGTATTTCAAAGAGCTTCTCCGGAAAGAAACATCAGGCTTCATTTACGTCTGTAGCCATATAAATGTAAGAAGCCCATAAAAAGCAAAATGTGGGTGGCCGTGCGGGAGGGAATTTTACGAGTACGTAGCAATGTTTCGGAGGGATATTCATCTCCAGGGCAGAGTAAGCTACGTGGGCAAGAAGAAAATGTTAAATATCTCTCATTGGTTCGCTCCTTGCCCCATTGATTTTATTTCCAATTCCTACATAATTGATTCTTTGCCATAATAGATACTGTCATGTATTAGGGGTTTGCGTGACTTATAAAACGGGGTTTGGCTTTGATGATCGAATTTATTGGTCGTTTATACAACTTGTTACAATATTTCACAAACCACTCTCTTCGACGTGACACTCTCGATTGCTGACCACACTACACTAATCCACCGCTACTGGGGTCAGTGTCACTCATTGTTATACAGCCTCGGGTATGACCTCACACAAAACATGTCCATTGCCTAGCAATGGATGTCCTCTATTGTGGCGTAATCGTTTGAATATGTTTACCTAATAACAGGCTGTTTACCAAGAATCTGTCTCCATGGGAAGGTGTTTACCGAGCCGTTGTCTAGCAATGGGTTTATACGTAACAATATAGATGACTGACAAATGACAGGCCCGTTCTATAGTAGGAGAGGGCCCCCAAAGTCGACACATCCGTAGCTATCTAACCGTAATTAAAATATGGTCATGAGCCCCAGATGGGGCTCGACACCAACGGACTGACTGAATGACCGTCCGTCTTAGCTTGACTTTGACTTTGCGTTGCTTATCCTTTATCCTGAAGTCAGCTGCGTCTGGGAAATGTTGGTACCTGGCTACCAAAACACACGGTGCCACATTCTAAATGATGGAACTCTTCACAGTCACCACAGTAAGAACCTAAGTTTCCTCAGGGCTCACATTCGTACTAACGAGTTAATTTTGCAACAAGAAAAAATAGTTCACTTTTCAGTCCCAAGACATGCGAGACAATTTAACAAATTTCAGACACAAAGAACATGAACAAATGCTCATATTATACAGAATCTCCAAGGAGAAAAGGTCAATGTCCTGGGAAGTCATAGTATCGGCCATTCTAAGCAAAAACGTACATGAGTACATGTCCTATTCCGAACGGTTTCCGAGACAGAGCTATTTCACCGTGCAGTACACTGTACAGCAGTGCTGTCCAACGTTCTTGTGTACTCGGGGCACAATTCACTGATGCCTATGGAGATGCGGGCGACACCACACACTACTACTACTACTACTACTACTACTACTACTACTACTACTACTACTACTACTACTACTACT